TTTATCCCTGTGGACAGTTTGGGTTAGGTTAGCTAGAAACTGTCAAACTGCCGTTGGGTATTCCATCAGTACCTGCGGTGTAACTCAATGTTCCTTTTCTTTTGCTTATTTTATTTGTTTTTTAGTTTTCGAGTTATGGAAAAACTGAGTAAATAGTGTAAGCTCCCACATAGCCCTTTCCTGGAGCATAGTGTCACTGGCGTCTCACAGGAACATGGTACCACGGCTATAACCACTGAGCCGCACTGACGCTTGGTGATTAAATGCACCACAGTCTGTGGCGGAGTCAGAGTTCTTTCATTTTTAACCTAATGCTTTCTCTGTCCCAGGATTCCATCCGGAGCTCTGTATTACATGGTGTCTCTTTGTGACCCTCTTGACTCTCAGAGTTTTTCAGATTTGCCTCATTTTTTATGCCTGTCATCACCCTGACGGTACTGGTCAGGTGGACTTTGGGTTGCTTCTGGCATTGGGAACTGCCTGGTGTTTTCCTCATGACTAGAAGGGTTGGGGAGGAGGCCAGCAAAGACAAAGTACCCTTCACATGCAGGGTGCCTGTGATGGACAGGAGGATGACTGCCAATGTTGACCTCGATCACCTGTATTTAATGTACTTTAGATTTATAAATTTGAAGTAATGTTGCCCTGCCCAGAGGTTCTCCCCATTCAGCTGCAGCCATTAGGCACTGTGAGTAGAAAAAACATTTTCACTCATAATCCAGTGGGGTTGTTATCCAGTATCTGTGGTTGTAGATAGTATAAGTTGTCATGCCAGGTGGCAGGGATGGGGGCAAATGACAACTCCCACATGCCTTGGTTTCCCTTTCTGTACTATCAGATTACAACAATACTGCTTTCTACCTCCTAGGATTTTTATTGAGATTCAAGTGAGTTTGATGTGTACAGGATCCTGAGAATAATGTAGAAAAGTCTTCCCAAATGTACCTGTGATTATCACCAAGTTTTCTGTGGGAAAGCACAATGGCGTGACTGACATTTTTATGTACCACTCTGGAATCTACAAACAGTGAGACCAGAGAAGAAGCTGTCATAGAAACCTGGCAGAGGAACGGGCATGCCGGCCAGGGGATGCCCATGATATGATGAGGTGTGCGACAGAGGGAGAAGAGACAAGGGGAACACCTGTGCTTGTTTTGAACCACCAGGCACCAGGAGAAGGTTGGAGAAGATAAGGTTTTGGTTTGGTGATCTTGAAACTGAGCTTTCAACAGGGACTTGGACACAGGAAGTTTCCTTGCAAAATGATGCCAGGAAACTGACTTCAGAGCCACACACAACAGGGTTATGGGTGCCATTTTCCAGCTAGGCAATCTCAAGACACGTCAGTTATCTCTGAGAGAGCTTCCTCGTTTGTAAAACCAGTAACATCAGGTCCTTCTTGTGGAAGTTCCCACCAAGTATTTTATGAAATGATGCAAATGAGGTGGCTCATGCAGGGAGAAAGCCCAGTAACTGTGGGCTCCCACTATTGCTGCTGTTAAAAAGAGATTTTGCCACTATCCTTGTAAGGAAAAAAGAGTTTCATTAGAAGCCAAAGTCCTATCTCTCACTCTTCTCCTAGTTACTTCTAGGTGCAGAATTTTGAGGAAGAAAACCCAAAATAGGCCTAATGCATGATTATCTCCATGGCTACAGAATCAATATTATAAAAGAAGCGACATTTAATCTTAATTCAGTCTTCTCATCTCCAGAATCAGAATTCAGTCATTATAGCTTTAGAATCTCCCACTCCTTTCAATAAATAAACTATGGGATAATGTTTTCACAGAACTATAAGCCATACCACCATCACTCAATCATGCTGCATCTTCAGACCATATCTCTATCATTTTTAGTTTTTCCTCTACAGTTTTAAATCAGTGACTCTCAGTCTGAGACAGTGCATCTTTGTGTGTGTGATATACACATGCTAGAGAAAGAGGGAGGGAAGGCAGGAAGAATAAGGTGTGTCAGTCATCTGCTATTACGATCCTGCTGCATAACAAGCAATCAGAAACCTGGTTCTTTAAATCAAGAAGCATTTATTTAGTGCATGCATCTGTGCTCACTGATGTAGGCTTTCCTAGGCTGCACAGATCTGCTTTCACCGAAGCCCATTCACAGTTGGCTCTTGGCTGATGTGGTTGACCGAGGCTTGGCTAGAATGGCTAGGGCAGTTGGACTTGGTGTCACATGCCTCATCCTCCTGCAGGCTGGCTCCTGCCTTGACCTCCTAGAGTTCTGGGATAAAATATGTGCACCACCACACCTAGCCCCATCAGGTTCTTAGTTTCAAACAACAAGTGCTAGCCAGGATTAAGGTGTTCATCACAAGAAGCCAGAGGTGCAGCCAGAGGCAGGACGCACAAAGCTGATGTGCACCAGAACCTGTCTTAACATGCACTGTGCCACCCTTCCCCTCTGTGCCTATAATGTGGCCATCCCAGTCCTGTCTGGTCTGCAGGTTGCAGGAGGGCGCAGGAGTGTACCAGCCCCTCCGCTGTGATCTTCAGTGACACAGGGGGCAGCAAGCCACCCTGTTCCATGTGACAACCCCTTCACCTTCCACCTGGCTTCCCCAAAGGTGACTTTCTGACAAAACGTGAGTTTCATCCTGAGGGAGGTGAGGAGTCAGGCTGGAAGCTTAGGACAGCCTCCCATGGGGCCACCCCAGGGTCAGCAAAGTGCTGGGACTGAGATGGTGGGACCAGGGCAGGGAGGCTTCCGGATGTGGCAGATAATACCCCAGAGCAAACGAGCCAGCAGTAGATGGCCCCCAGGGTACGCGCCATCTGTGCTTCTGAAAGAAACCAGCTTTAACCAGTTTTCTTGAAACAATGACTTTCTGTGATGGAAAAGTGTGATGAATGTTTAACTTTTATACCTTTACAATGTAAAAGACACATTGCCATGAATCCCCTTCAAAATCCTTCCTCACTTTGAACACATTTATCCCATGGTTCTTGCCACTTTCTGAAGCAGTTCTGGAAGTGGTCTTTCCTGAGTGTCTTTAGTTGCACTGCTGTGGCTTCCCCCATGTCCTGAATCCATTCAAAATATTTACCTTCTGTGGTAATTTTGACTCTGGGGAAGAGTGAGAAGTCACTCAGTGCCAGGTCTGGTGGATATGGTGGAGGAAGACACAGCCTCATGTTACAGCCCTGCCTTTTCCTTTGGATGGCACTTGACAGCAGCATTCACTGTATTTTTGTTCATATCTCATAAAGACATTCACAAAAGAGGACTCCAGAGCTGCTTCAGAAGGTGGCAAGAAGCGTGGGATATGTGTGCTCGGAGGGGATTAGTGATGATGTGTCTTTTATTGTAATAAAAGTTTTAAAATGTAAACACACAGTATTTTTGATCACCCTTTGTATACTTTTCCCTCTTTGGGTGTGGGGCATGGCCATAAAAAATATTTTATTTCCCTCTTCCCTGTAAGCAAATTAACAGAGCAAGACAGCCAACCGCTGGCAGCTGCTTATATCCAGCCCAGACCTAGGAAGGGTGGGGTGGGAGTGAGGACAGGGGTGACCTGGAAGGTGTGGCTGCTGTCAGCTCTCAGGAGTCAAGGTGGCTGGGCTTCCCCCTGCTAAAGAAAACCACAAAGGTGGACATTTGCACAGAATCTAATTCTTAAAGTTTGGTAATGTGTTCATGTCATCCGTTACCGAAACGTACATTTTCTATATGTAGGCTTCCCCTCTCAACAGGCAGAGGGACAGCACATAGAGAAGAGTTTATGTCTTAAGTAAAATGCAAGAATACAGGCTTCTTGTAGAAGCCAAGAAAATGCCTGCTTCCCTCGGCCTACGTGGGCCGGGCAGGTTGTTCAGGGCAGCTGAGCTTCTCACACAGAGCAGCACAGGCCAGGCTAACGGGGCACGTCAGAGGCTGAACTCCAGCTCTCAGCCCACCAGTCAGCAGCTTCTGCAGTAGCTAATAAGGAAAACCTAACCCTGACCACACTGTCCTCACAAAAACGGCACTCCTTGGCAGTGGCACTTTCTCACATTTCTTTTTGTATTTGATTTGCAAGGCATAAATAAAAAAGTGCTTCCTGACAGGTGGACTTTCACCTCCCTGACAAAGTAGAAACATTTCCCATGCGCTGCTAGGCTCCGTACTTCATGAGTCCTTTGCCTTTAAGAACCTCCTTTATCTCGTTCCTTTGGGCCACAAGACTACTTCGCTGAGAAAACTTGGCAGAAAGTTATATTTAGAAAATGTGGAGCCAAGCAAATTCCCATATCAGCTGCCCTGAAACCCATGACCCCACGGAGCGAGAGCCTGGATGCTGCTATTTCTGCCTGCCCTTGGGAAGACTTTGTATTAAAAAACACATAATTGGGCACTCCTGGCTCAGATACCCAAGAGAAGTTTATAGGCAGCAACTTAAAAGGGCATAATGAATACCTCTTTGTAATAATCGCAGTTGCCTGATTTTACTGTTACCTTAATTGCCAGAAGGTTAAAAAAAAGTTTTTATGCTTAGTAGAAAAAAAGGAGTTTTCTCCTTTTCCTTGCCAAGCCCACCTAGGACAGGAGTTCGCTTCTTAACCCCTTCTCCCTACATCCCCCTGTTCCTACACAGACAAAACCACGCTTTATGTTTTCAGCTTACAGGAAAAGGTATTTGGTGGGCTTGTACTTGGGTAATGGGTTTGTCTACCTCAAGGCAAGATGAGGGACAAGGGTGATGGCATCTTTCAGGAACTCGCAGATCTTTGAGCCAAGTGAGGTCAGCCAGGGGCTGGGATCCAGAATCCCTGTGTGGACTCCAAGAAGAGCTGGACACTCAGCTCACAGGGGGAGAGCCCCTGCCTCCCGCCTGTACAGGTTCTCTGGATTGAATTGTGCCTCCCTGTTTCTAGGTTGATGTCCTAACCTCCCAAACCCCATAATGTAACCTTCTTAGGAGATATTTTACTCTGTATTCTGTGGCTAATACAAATTCCAGAAGCTGGCTGACTCCAAGACAAGAACTTTCCTAAACTCACAGTTTAGAGGCTGGAAGTCCGAGATCGAGAGGTTCCATCAACTCAGCCCCTCAGGGGTGGAGCTTTGGTGTCGTCTCATCATGGCAGGTGGCATCGCAGCGGGAATGTGTGGAAGAAAGAGAGGTCACAGGGCAGGGTGAGAGGCCGACAGCAGGGAAGGGCAGCTCTTGCTGTTTTGTAACTACTCACTGCAGGGAGACCCAGCTCAGGCACTGGGAGGACTACGTGAACCCGTGCCAGGTCAGCACCCAGCATTTCCCTCTGGGCTCCACCCCTTAAAGATTCACCACTTCCCAGCCTACCCTGCTGGGAACCAGGCTTCCTGCCCCAGAACTCAGAGGACACACTCAACCCACATCCAGTCACCACTGGCATCAAGGCCTCAGAGAGAGGTGAGGAGGGTGAAGTGAGGACATGTGGGTGGCCCTGAGGTGACAGCTGTCCTTCGGAGAACAGAAAAGGAGGGCACAGACCCTGGGAAGTATGGCCACATGAAAACACAGGAAGAAGGAACCATCAGCAAGCCAAGGGCCGAGGCCCTCCAAGGAAGCCAACACCGAAACACTTCAATCTCAGGCCTGAGATCTGCGAGAAGTTAGCATCTGTCACTTAAGCCACTGGGTTAAAGACACTCTAGCAAATTCCCACAGGGGCTGCATCTGCTTTGGCTCTGCCACCCCAGCCACTGCACCCCATCCTCCCCCAGTGTCTAGACTACGACCGTGCTGACTCACAGCTCTGCTCCTGTGGGGTTGCTATGGCTTCTCAGCTCCTCCAGTCAACCTGCTTTGCAGGTGCTGGTCAGGTCCCCCACCTTGTTCTAGGTCTGCAGCCAGGAGGTCATAGGACATACTTGGAAGCCACCTACAGCTGCTCACCTTAGTGTACCACTGTGGGAAGGGCCCCCAATTAGAACAGGGTGCGTGGGTGCACATGTATGCATCCTTGTATGTGTGTGCATGCATGGAAAGCATGTTTAGATGTGGCCCATGGCTGCACTCACATGTTCAAAGATCAGCTTATCCCAGAAATTACAAAGCAACTTCTAGTGACAATGAGGTGGGGCAGCGCGACAGGGTTAGAGATACTTGGGGAATGGAAATCTTTTGCGATATGGTGGCAGCCATAGTTTCATGGACATATTTATCCTCTCAAAATTCACAAAGTGGTGCCCTTTACAACATGCATGCTGTTGGGGGTAGTAACTGGGGGCCTGCTCAGGGGAGGATTTTAAAAGTTTGGCTTCTGGACATTTGATACCCTTGGGGTATGACCAGGAAACAAGGAGGCTTAGACCAACTTTCAGAGACAGCTTGAGGACTTCCCCGGCTCAGCTGGGCCTTGAGTGTGTGGTTTCTCCACCTTCTCAGTCTGGTAAACAGTGTTGTCAGTGGCAGGGCCAGGGGAAATGCCCACACCAGCCCTGTTCCCTGCGTGAGCCACAGAGGCAAGGGTGGGAATTGAGCAACTGTGAAGAGGAAGTCTGGGCTGGTTGCAGGGGTTGTTGCTGTAAGAGTGACGCTGCGCCTCAGATTCAGGGCACAGAGAAAGCGCCCTCTGGTCAGGTCTTATTCCCGGGCCTCCTACTTTGCTCAGGAACTGAATTATCTTTTGATTCGAATGCAAACGCAGCTCAGTTTCTGCCTTGGAGCAGGCTGTGCTAGGGCTGCCAGCTGTCAGCCCCACGTGTAATGAGGCAACTCAGATTGCAACAGCACCTGGAAGGGATCCTGCTCACATCTGAAAGGACACGTCCGCAGCAAGCCCGAGGGCTTACGTCACCCTCAGGCTTTCCTGTGTGCTGAGGTGGGCAGGGAGAGATGGAAAAATATATTGCTATTTATTAATTCAAAACAGTACAGTTTAAAGATGCAGTAAACTGTTTTAAGAAAAGGTATGGGAAACAATGCACGGGGAACAGAGGCAGAGGCATCTAGGTTCTCTTTTTTATAACCTTGTATTAAGGTACAGAATACATACAGAAGGGCGCACCCGTTCTAAAAGAAAAGCTTGATCATGTATCACAAATAGTGCACATTCAGGCGCTATGTGAGTCTGTTTTCAGTGACAGTAACAAAATGCTTGAGTCTGGGGAAGAAAAATAGGTTGACTCAGCTCACAGTGTAGAGGCTGAAAGTCCCAGATCCGGATGAGGCAGCTACAGAAATCTGAGCTCTGGTGAGGGCCTCCGGGTCATTGCACAGGTGGGCACACAAGCGAAGGGACCTCGCGGCAAGACAGGAAGCCAGAGACAGGAGCATCAGGTGTGGTCTCCTGCAACAACTCACTCTTGGGGGAAGTTACTATTTACTCTAGGAGGCCAGCCGGCTCCAAGAGCAGTGCCCCATGACTGAATCACCTTCCAATGGGCCCCTCTTAAAGGTCACCACCTGTTACATCACCCCTGGAGACCATGCATCTGGCACATGAACCATAGAGGACAAACCCCATCCAGGCTAAGACTGGTGAGCACCCAGCTTGAGAGAGAAGCTGTTATAGCATCCTAGAAGCCTTCCCATGCCACCAGCTCTTTACACTGCAATGGGGAGGAGAAAGGAGGAAGGTCGGAGACCTTGCTTCTGGGGCTGTCCAACTTCCTTCCAGGTGAAGTGTCCACATACCAAGTGCCCTTCTTGGGGGCACTGTACCCCAAGCCAGGCAGGGTTAACAGGGTGAGTGTCCATAGCGCTGGTATAAACATTTTATTCCATTTCTTTAGAGAAATACACATTGAGCATTCTGCACCATGTGTTGTGTGTGTGTGTGTGGGAATTGTCAGCTTTTAAGTATATTTTTTTCAAATCATGGGAGCTCCCTCCATTTGATAAAAGACATCTATAAAAAAACCAAGAGCTAACATCACATTTAATGGTAAAAGCTGTAAAGCCTTCCTCCTAAATTCAGAAAAAGACAGGATATATATCCTTGTCCTTTCTATTCCACAATGTAGTGAAAAGTCTAGGCTGGTCAATTAGTCAAGAAAATAAATAAAAGGCATTCAAATCGGAAAAATAGAAATAAAATTATTTCTATGTACAGATGACATGCTCTTGCACACAGAAAATCTTAAGGAGCCCACAAATATACCCTAAAAAGTATTAGAGCCAGTAAACAAATTTGACAAAGTTACATAATTGAAAAAAATAAACTATATTTATATATATCTAACAAAACACAACACAAATATGAATTTTTTAAAAATTCCATATACAATAGCATCAACAAAGATAAAATATTTTGTAACAAATTTAACCAAAAACACAAAACTTAAACAGTAAAACTGTAAAATATTACTAGAAAGCTTAAAGACCAAATAAACAGAAAATATATTTGTAGATTTGTACAAACCTATATTTGTAGGTTGGAAGGCTTTATATATTGCTAAAATAGCAAAACAAAAACTTTTACTGATTCAATGTTTTTCCTATAAAAACCCATTTGGATTTTTTGTAGACATAAACAAGCTGCTCCTAAATTTCATATGAAAATGAGAGTGATCCAGAATAGTCAACACAATGAAGGAGGAAGAAGAAATTTAGAAGACTCACACAGTGTCAAAGCTGAGAGCAAAAGATTATGTGGCAGTAGCATAAGTACTGATGTGTAGATCAATGGGATAAAATCAAGAGTCCAGAATTAAAACTGTACATTTATTCAATTGATTTGTGATAAGAGTGCTCAACACATGGTGTGGGCCAACTAAATATCCACAAGCAAAAAAAATATATATATATAGCTGGTCCCTGTGGTGGATTGACAACTGGTGGTCAACTTGTAACACCCAGCTGAACTGAATCAGTGTGGTGCTGGGTGTGGAGGGCCCACCTGAGGATTGTTGCCAACAATATAAAAAGGAGAATTGGAGGGGACGAGGTGTACTATTGATTCTCCTGGAGAAGCTTATCACACTGGCTTTCCTGATATGAATTTGGCTGTTCTCATCATTGGTGGAGCTCAGGTCCTCCCTGTTGCTGAGGATGGCTGCGGTTCTCTTTAGGGGAGCTCTGGTCTGTACCTTGAGCGTTGCTTCCTGGCTCCAGTGCAGATCCCTCAGCCTGCTGGCACAGGTCCTTCATCCTGCTGGTGCAGACTTTCTAGTTTCCACCACTACCTTTGGACTTTTCCAGTGCAGATCCTTGAAGTAGATTTGCATGAGACATTGTTGGGGCTGTTGGCCTCCAGCTGGACTCATAGAGGATGTTGCTATGGGCTCTAGGTCCTCAGCTGGACTCATGCAGAACATTGCTGTGGGATCCAGGCCCTCACCTGCATTCTTTGGGTCTCTAGTGTGTGGACAGATCTCCCACATTCTTTTGCATTTGACTCATGGGGTGCATATTATAAAATAATCCTATCAATCATGTGTTCTCTATTAATTCCTTTTCCTTGCAAACCCTGACTACAACAGTCCCTTACCTCAGAACATATACAAAAACTATCCCAAAAAAATCAAAGACCTAAACATAAGAGATAAGTTATAAAACTCTATACCTAAGGTATAAATCTTTTGGGTTGGGCAATGATTTCTTAGGTATGATATCAAAAACACAAGCAATAAAAAAAGAAGACAAATTAGATTTCATTGAAATTAAAAATATTTATACTCCAAAAGATACTTTCAAGAGAGTTAAATGGCAAATCACAGAATGGGAAATAAAATTATAAATCATACATCAGATAAGAGATTTGCATCCAGAATGTAAAAAGAACACTTAAAAGCTCAACGATAAAAACCAAATAACTCAATCTAAGAGTGGGCAAAGGATTTCAATAGATATTGCTCCAAAGGTAATATACAAATGACTAAGAAACACCTGAAAAGATGGGCACCGTCTTTAGTCACTAGAGAAATGCAAGTCAAAACTGTGAGACACCACTTCATGCGCCCAGGATGGCTACAACCAAAAGACCAACAACAAATGTTGGTGATGCTGTGGAGAATTAGGAGCCTGTAATCCTAGCACTTAGGAGGCTGAGGCAGGAGCCTCATATATTGCTGATAGGAGTGTGAAGTGATCCAGTCACTTTGGAAAGCAGTTTTCCACTTGCTAAAAATGTTAAACATCATATTGCCATATAACCTAGAAGTTGTAGTCCTAAATATATTCCTGTAAACACTGAAAAATATAAATTTATACAAATACTTGTATATGAATGATCACAGTAGCATTATCCATAACAATAAAAAAATGAAGACAATCCAATGGTCCATCCACTGATAGAGCAATTAGAAAAATGTGGTAT